CAGCTCTGCGGATGTCTCGGGGGTATGGCACAGTGGAATCGTTTTTTTTTTTTGAATTTCTTTTGGTGGGTTCGAATCCCATCTTATCCACAAATTTTTTTTTTCTTTTTTAAAAAAATCCATTTTGTATTAGATTTAAATTTGCAACAATAAGGCAATACTTTTAGTACCATTACTTCTGGCTAACATTTCAAACTTCTTCAGCTGTACCAGGCTTCTGTGCATGATACAGGCAACTCAGTAAACGCCTATAGGGTGTCTTGTTTGAAAAACAGACCCAAACAGACCAACAATCAAAGTAAAGGTTACTCGATTCAAAAACTAAAACCTGCAAAACGAAAAAGTCGACAAATGAATAAACCTGATTATCAGGCACTCTAGGGAAGAGGGAGCCTCTCTTTTCCCCTCTTCCCCACCCCCTCCCCCCATGGAGAGCCTGATACTCAGGTTATCCCCTAACAGCCCCATGATTCTGCGCGCGTTCTTCTCGTTACCAGTTATTTTGTGCAGCCTATTAGCTGGTCCAGCAACGACATCAAAAAACAAAAATATTACAACTTTCTAGTTATTCAATTATAATCATATTAAAATATAAGAAATGAACAAGTTCTAGCTTTGAATTACGATTGATTGGTTACACTGCTATGATATATAGGTGTATTAGTCATACCCACTATTTTGCTATTACCTAAAGCAATAGTTTTGGATCTAATGTTATCTTTACGATTCATTATCAATTTTGAAAAGTTTCATAACCGTTATTTTAGGTCCTTTAGCCCAGGTACTAGATTTTGCTGCGCTATGATTAGTGTAAATATTTGAATAAACTTATTTGGCTTGGGTTTCACGTTTTCTCATTTCAGATCACGTGTCATTCTCTTGAGAATAAGATACTTTGTTTGAGTCGTATCCGTATTCATGTGTCTTATGCGCAACCGTTAAACAAAGGAATGGTACTCTAGGGAATGACACGGTGTCTGTAATGGGAAAACATTACTACCAAGCTAAAAAGGTATATCCCCTTCTGGAACAGTCGATTTTACAGCCCCAAGAAAACCATTTAAATAAGTTGCAATTGAAAGTCTCCTATCGATTATAACATTTCCCTATTTCATCGGAATCATAAACGTTCACTGGTAAACTACATTGTATAAAAAGGTTCCTCTAACCAGTTACATCCATGCTTTTTTTCAGGCTCATTCTTGTGCAAGGTCAAATATAACCAAGGTCAAATGTTGCGCAGCCACTGTCCACAGATCAACCACGAGCTACGCATGCTCAATATAATTACAAAAGTTTTCCAAAGGAATCCCATAACCGTTAGCTAACATAGACTTTAGATCTGATAGGTTCTTTGAAACATTCCGAATAAATGAGTTTAACGAGGTACAAATGAAATGCAACGATGAGGAACACGATGGAGACCCAGAACTTGGCAGGAAGTCCCACATGGTGGAAGACGTGGTGATGCTTCAAAGATTCTGAAGAGAAAAAAGTTCAAACAATGTCAATACCCAGGAAATATTCCATGTCTTCTCTTTTGAACTATTTCTTTCTCTAACGGTATTGATCGAGGAAATACCGTATACCATTAAAAAGATAAGCTCAACTTTTAGCTTGGGTAGAAACAACACCATGCAAGGTATGACAAATAAAATATGTTTGTACCCTAGCTAGACCACAATGCACCATGTTCATTATGACATCTATGCTCTTAAAAAGACTCATATCGCCCACCAAGAGAGCATAAATGAGAGGGAACCTTCTTAATAACGCGCTCGCCATGCAAATTCCCAGTTGGGCTATTTATAGTAACCGGATGCAGTTTAAATTTCGCCTTACCCTACTCCCGTGCGCCATCAATTTGCGCGCTCTTTCCCGTTTCGTTTTTAGTTATCAAAACAATAAACCGAAAGAGCGCGCGTGCGCAAATTGCACTCACGCCCACTGAATAGTTGTTAAGTGACTACACTACCTTGGTGCGCATCCTTGATAAAGACGTTCTTCTTGATATTTTGCAACTGTCCTTTCTTCTTTGAGATGTAGAGGATCGGTGTAACAGGTTTAGTCATGCGTACTGGGAAAACTACCGAGGACGAGCTGGAGACATGGATAATAGATAACTAAATCAATAATTAATATTGCTTAATAATATAATGTACGTTTCTATGACCATCACTCCCCTTACCACCAAAAATAGCGTTCGACTCTATAGGTGGCATGCATCCCTTCCCATAAGAATAAAAGGTCAAAAGACAAGACATGGCTGCCTACATGTAGGGCAACACACGTGTATATCTTGAAAAACCATGACCAAATCTTTTGTTCAAGTAATCCAACATGGCGGCTATGATGTCACATGCACAAGGACAAAAGACATGGCCGCCATGTTGGTTGATATGACAAAAGACAGCAAGACCAAATCTTTTATTCAAGTTAACCARCATGGCAGGTATGACGTCACAGACATTCCAACTGGCGGCTAAATGAAGGGGTTCAACAGTATCATTTAAACATACCTCAGTTCAACAGGTTCGTACTGACAACCAGCCTCACAGGCATAAAGAGGGGTCTTTTCATTTCCTTTGGCTTGGATAAAAAGCTTTTCAGCATGTCCCGTATGATCATTAATGATGACAGATACATTAATGAAAATTCCTTTGTAGAGGTGAATATGGCGAAATGTTACACTCGTGTGAAGAGAAGCAGGGTTCGCAGCAAACTCAAATAACCCTGCAGAGAACTGAAGGCCACCAAAGCTTAACGTCATTGCTTGAGCAATACCTGTTCCACCTAGAATATAAAGACTGATGTTAACGCTGATACTCCAAGTTACAAAATGGCGTCAACTTTACCGTCCCCTTTTGTCAGTGCCCACTTTTCTTTTTTCAATGACTTCAACAACTTCCAGATGTTGGGGTTATTGGCCATTCCCTATCAAAAAATTGTCTAGCTTAGACTACTGGTTTGAGAGATGGTAGTGGGAAAAAAATATATATACAAAAAGAAAAAACGATAAAATGTGACATGTGTGGAGTTGATTGGGTCAAATGAAAATGAAAAGCCATCAACAGCTATGGCTATGATGAAGAAAGAGAAGCAGTGTTTGCAGGCACTGTGGATCATGCTTTGGACATGTGATGATATTCTGTTCTGTATGTTCTGGGTCTAATCTTATTTTAAGACAATTAAGGTTTGTCACATACCAGCCTTGATGAGAGAGGAACACCCATTCTGAGTCAATACTTTTTTCCATGATGACATCATCCTAGCAACGGCTGCCTCAGTTCTGGGTATGGGCCAAAGTGAGGCAGAGTGCCTAGAAACGCAAATATTATATATATTTTTTGATTAGAAAAATGGACTCTTTATTGGGAATTAATAACACGCATGTGTAATTATTGGCATTGAATGACATATGTGTGACGCATGACAGTTATTTACCTATCTATGATTACAGATTATAAAATAGCACAGCTGTATCCTCATTCTTTCTTTTTTTACTCACCCTCCCTTCTTGGGGATTTATTTGGTATTCAGGCTAATAAAGCCATTCAAAACCGCTGGCATTGAGAGGTATGGAAAGTAACAATGACGACTTGCCTCTTAACAATGGAAACAGGAATGGTTTTTGAACCTGGTGTTATGAAATATTCTGGGCCCCATTGTACGAAGGTTGGAATGCATTATCCAACCAATAAATCTAATCCAGTGGATAATTTATTGAATAACAACGTCAATTGCACTATCCACCCTTCGTAATGATAGTTGCTCTTAAACTAACACACTTACATCGTAGGAGGTCCCCCAAAGCAGTGCTCAGGAGCATGTAGCAGTGATTCTATTTCTTCGCTGTTTTGTGAATTGCCGTGAATATTATAGTCAGGCGTAGGGAAGGTAGACAAGAGGTAGTACATTGTTGCATTCACTTCAATTCCTGGGGGTGTGTCTGCATCATGCCGTGGGTCAACATGTACTCCAGTTTCCCAAAGCTGGCAGCAAAGAAAGAAATTACATATGTATTATGGTAGAACTAATAAAGATTTCCTACATCATTTATCATCATGACTCCTAAAATAGAACCTATTTGTTTGGTGATTGACAGAGGAGGAGGGAGGTATGGTTTATTTGATTGAAAGAGGGGGGGGGGGGGTTCATACCTTATTCCATACAGACTTGTGACTGTTATTTATCTCTTTAGGGTCAAAGTCTTTCATAATCATTTCAAAGTCCTGCAAGAAAACATATATATATATATTTATTTATATAAAACTTATATTTTACAACCACCACTCCCCATACGGGGCTCTTCCGTGAGGTTCCCTCCACACCCACTACCACTACATTTTATATTTACAACATACAACACTCAACTCACATGTTTCTTTTTAGGGAGGAAACCGGAGATCCCAGAGAAAACCCTTGTGGCAAGGGAGAGAACAACACAWCAAACAAACTCAACTCACATACGATCCAGTCTGAGCCAGGGCTCGAACCCGGACCACAGCGGTGAGAGGCGAGCAGTAAACCACTACGCCACCCATGCCACCCTAAAACATCCCATCCAGTAAAGAATCAGCATAGATAAGCAAGGCACATCATGGTCAGCATCATTTTCACTTATTTTACTAGTAACAGTCAGGATTGCAAAAACCTAGCTTTTCACCTCTGCAGGTTTTAATTCCCAATCACCCCATTTGAGCTTAGCTCTTGGTTCTCTTTCGAACTCTGAGGGTTAATTTGGGTTTCCAATATTTCCTCCATCATTTCAAACCAGCAAACCGGCCCTAACTAGTTAGAGCTGTGCTCCAGGGTCATACATGGACTATAAAGTGACTGCCAGAGGCACCTTCAAATATTTTTTTTTCCAGTTCAAACCTATTGACCTGTGCCATTGCTGTAATTTTGGTGGCAAAAAGACAGTGATAAACTCAGGCTTTTTTATTACTGCTACTTGGCTAATACTACTGTACCTTTTTAGCTAGTCCTTCTAGTTCATCCTTGTCAAAATTCTTGGCTGGAACTTTTTCATTTGAGTGAATTGAAGTGTGTACAACTGCAACGTGACGAATATCTGCAGAACTAAACCAAGAAAGTATATCAATTGTTAGTTTTTGTCTTGTGGATTATTATTACATTTTATAATAAGTCTATAACATAAGAAAATACATACCTTCTGCTCTTAATGTTAAGGGTTTCTGGTTTCTTGGTTGTTGCTATGGTGACATTGACACCGGGGAAGTTTTCATCAACATATGCAATGTTGCCATGGTGGATATCATAATTGACTAGTCCTGACTTGCCCTTTATGCTGCAAGGTTAAAAATGATCAACATCATCATTACTATCATCAATTAATGATTGTTATACTCATCACCACCACCACAAGTGCTACTGGTACTGTCATCAATCACCACATTCAGAATCACCATTGTAAATTCAGGATAAATTTCTGGGTTATCATTTTATATCGTACCTCTAAAAATGCAAGATAGAACACAAACAGTCCACTTTTGAGTTATGCTTTGCTCGTCAAGCACAAAGGTTTCAGTACAAGGCTACATACTAAATTAAATTAATTCTTTTCTCCTGTCATGAATCACTTAGCATTATGAATGAAGCCCCACATTGAATCCTTTGTGCATGACAAGTGCAGCATATCTGAGAAGTGGGCTACTGAAAACTTGTTTTTCTACCTGTCACTCTTTGTGGATGCCTTCCTCCACTCTTTTGCTCCTTTTTGGTTCAAACTAACAGAAGCAGGAATTTCCTGAAAAACAAACAACTTCTTTTTCAAAAAAAAATTTTTTTTGAACTTTTGTAATCAACCTTGCCTCACAAGTCCAATGTTAACAAACTTTAGTTTATAAGTCTTAGGCCCTGTCCACACTATGCCGGATAAATTTGAATCTGAATTTTTTATTTATTCGGTTTAGGCCTACTGATGGTCCACACTAGTCCAGGCAAATCTGGAACAATTCTTCACCGAAAACGAATTTTTTCAAATATGGTCTCCAGAGTGGAACAATTTGAAAATGCCGGCTAGCCGTATTAGTGAGGAAGGAGAACATTTCGTATCTGAAATTTTTCGAATACCATGAGGTCATGATTGTCATGGGAACATGGCGGGAACATGGCGGRAAGGCTAAAAATTTACCGCAGGCTCAATTTCAGTTTCAATGCACATGCTCAGATGTGCAATATAGCGTTTTTGCCGCCTCTGATCGGACTAGTGCGGACATGAAACATTTTATCTGTTTTCATGTGTGGACGGAAAACTTTTTTTTTGGTTTCGGTGTGAAAGTTGSGGATTCAAATTTATCTGGCATAGTGTGGACGGGGCCTTTATGGATAGTCCCACATACAATGGCTTTCTAGATTAGAGAATTTAGCTTGTTCCATGTGTGCAAAGTCAACTTTAGATAAGGTACATTGGATACTTACAGCATGGTTTGTGACATGAATTTCTTGTACCAGCAGAGAAGGATGACTTCTATGAATAAATACCACATTTTCTACTAACACACAGCTTTGAGACTAAAACATAATTTGAGAAGGAAATTAATAATCTAAATCTATACAAAATTAGAAACTTTATCAATAGATATCATTTTGAATGTAACAACTGTAACTTTACCCATAAATAACTTTGTATATGATGGACTTTTCCATTCTTAAGATGAATAATGGTTGCCTCTGGAAAATAAACAACAAATTTAATAAAATGAAAGAAAGGAAAAAAAGAAAAAAGAGAAAGATAGCATGAGTGAGTGAATGAGTGCTAACTGACTGACTGACAGATTGACCGACCGATTGATTGACCGACAGACTAGGCTTATAGACTGACTAACTGACTGACTGACTGACTGACTGACTGACNCTAACTGACTGACTGACTGACTGACTGACTGACTGACTGACTGACTGACTGACTGACTGACTGACTGACTGACTGACTGACTGACTGACTGACTGCCCGACAAATTAGACTTACAGACTGACTGCACTGATTGACCGAACAACTGACTCAGTTACCTCACTGGCTGACTGACTGGCTGACTGACTGACATTAAATGAAAATGGATTTAAAACTGCTTTTCAGATATCTTTAGCCCATCTTACCTTTTGGTGTGGAAGCAGTAGTCATTACTGGTTCTAACAAAGGTCCGTAAGGCACTTCCATTAAAGTCAAGTCTTTGACTTGGAGATAAGAGTCCTTTTTTGCTGCAACACCAAGGTAACCATTACCTGGACAAAACCAAAAAAGAAATAATTTTGTTTCAAACATCTTCACCTCGTTTTTATGATAGGTATTTACGTAATCTTGTACTACTAAGAAAAGAAAGAAGGAAAGACAAATATGGTGTAGAGAATTACATCTGCATAAAATTCATACTATGGCTCAGGTCCTGATAGATGGGGTTCCTGTGGAATACATTAACCACAGGCAGCCCACACTATTTACACTTACCAACAAATGGGATGTAGGGACTTTCATGGCTTTGCAGTGGATTATGGGTAATAATGGCATTGCCCTGTTCAACTTCACTATCCCATTTGGCAAGGAAGTTGCCAAGACAAACTCCATCAAATGGAAGAGCTGAAAAGAACCAATATAATTAGAGAAATTATTAATTTATCATTAAATTAGTTAATTAATTAATTAGATAAGATGAGAATATGTGGACCGTGTAGCACTTATGAAATAATTCGACCTTGCTGGGAAATTAATTTTTCCGAATTTATTTCCAAGGGTCTTTCGCCTGGAATAACCTTGTTCCCAAGCACTATAACTTATCTATGTTTCTATATCTTGTATTTTATAAGTGCTACGCGGTCCACATATTCTCATCTTTGCATCATAATTACCACGACCAAACATATATTTCATCCCGGCCTGCTCTCAGTCTGACCTCTAGCTCAGCTGGTAGAGCATCGGTAGTACAATTCCAAAGGTCGTGGGTTCGTTTCCCAGCGAGGTCGGAAATAAACTTTTCTGAATTTATTTCCAAGGGTCTTTCTCCCGGAATAACCTTGTTCCCAAGCACTATAACTTATCTATATTTCTATATCTTTTAATTAGATAAGATTTAATCAATTAATTAGTGCAGGGAAGCACTAATCCTTTTCATACAAATCGTTTAAAAAAACATAAAAAGTGCCAAAAATGAACTAATCTTCTACCTGAGTACTTGTTGTTTCTCTGGGATCCTTTTACTCTTCTGTGGCTCGGATACAATCTTGATACACTCCATATTAAAAATAACAAAAGTAAGCCGAATATGACTAACGTCGCTTTACGTGACCTATGTGGGATGAAAGAGATAAGTAATATTCGTAAGTTCATAAAAAATAGAATTTTAGGATGAAATAAAATGAATGAATGAACAATAAATGAAAGTTAACAAAGAATTAGTGAATGAAATAGAAAAGATTAAAATAAAATAAAAAGATAATATACTATTAGAGTGCAAACAATTAATCCGTGAAACACTAATTATTAAATAACAATGGAAAAAAACAAAAAAAACAAATGGAATTTGCATGAAATTGTGCTATTTAGTATTACTAAAGTTTCATGGTTATATTGTTTGCACTCTACTTAAATAAATAGAAAGCAAGAATAGAATAGAATAGTATTTAAAAGAAGAGAATAGTATAGAATACGACAAAATACATGTAGAAGAACTAATTAATCGAGCTTACAGAACAGAACAGAAATTAAGACACTCACGTTTTAACATACGGACGTAAAATAACCTAGATTTATAGATTATAACCATGCACAAATGATAGAAGGTATCTCCAATGCGTCAATTAAATATATACTTTCATTTTAATTCTGCAGGTAGCGAAATGACGTATCTTATATATCTAAAACTAATATATAAAAAACTAATTTTACAGAGCTTAACTAATACTGGCTTTTCGATGAACAGTTCATTTTAAGTCGTAAGAGACTTTAAGTTGTAAGAGCACACAATTTACTCCAGCAATGTAATTTTTTTTTAACCTGTTGAGACTGGAATAAGGACTTCGTACAGAAGTATATTATTATAAGCTTTTCATAAACAAAATCAAAAATGTTTTTTTTAATACCTCAGAAGAAGTGAAGACGCAAGTCTCGTCTTTACCCATCCCAAGAGGCTTCCTATACGGGTTTTATCCCACATAAAGAAGATGATCAAGACTCAAGATCGTCAATTAAATGTACAGATATTAAAACATTACCACGAAACGACGCCATTTTGAATACTGAAACTACAATATTTATGTACAGGTGCTTTACATCAAAATATAGACGCGCGCAGCTCTACACAGCCAGCACAGGGTACCCAGTCAACCATAAAGTTTCATTTTATTTTTTTAACTTTACCATGTTTACTCTTCGATACTGGCAAGAATATAAGTTTATTAGTTGGACTATTTCTTTTTAGTTTGTACTTTTCTTAAAAAAATATTAGGTTTATTTATTTTTGAAAAAATGTTTTGAATGATTATCAAATACTCTGCAAATTAGATTATTTAATAGAAGATGATTGTAACATAAATACATGGTGTTAGAAAATTTTTTAAAGATCTTAAAAGAAAATTTATTAAAAAAGATATCATATAAATATTAATTCAAGCCAAAAGGCACTTACTTTGCTTGGGATTCCTGTGGTTTGTTGTCAACATGTGAAAGAGTCCTGGAACACAATACCATCTTCAGCTGTGTTTTTTTCGTTAGACTTCGTGGTATAAAATGTCCTTATTATTGACCAGATTCATTCAATACCACGATTTAGGACGTAGATTTGTATTAATAGGTCCTCAAAGTATATCTCGTGGTATTTTCCTGTGCAGGACTTTTAGTGACTCGTCAGGCTTTACACACGATTTCGAAGACGAACAACCAGAGACAAGCGAAGTCTTGAAGCATTTGCGCCAAAAACATCACTACCACGGGATCACAGAGAAAGAAAGGGAATATCAAGATGTGATGGTGATAGAACCAGATTATAAGTGGGGTAGACATAGGTAGGATTATTATGATTCTTATGTATAAGCTGGTCTATCCCAAGGGAAGCGAAGGGGGAGGGGGGAGGGGGGAGGGTCATTAATTAGCATAGAGTTGTTATTAAATAATTGCATTACGCACATGGGTAATAGACAATATTTCTATTTTTTTTTCAGATTTCAAAAATCCACAGTTGATCATCGTCTGGGCGAAGCATGTGGACTTGTGCATTCAATAAGTAACTGGAGAGTCAAGGCAAAATATAAAGAACCTCTACGAAAAATAGATAATAACATGTTCTTTGGAAAGGGTAAAGTAGAGGAACTCACAGAACGCATTCAAGATATCAAGAAATCTAATGGGGGAATTTTGGATGTTGTGTACCTTGATGTTGGTCGGCTATCCACTAGGCAGTATAGAGAACTAGAAAGCTTGTGGGATGTAAAAGTTCTTGATAGGTTTGGTATTGTGCTGCAAATTTTCAAGGAGAGAGCAAAGACGGGAGAAGCTAAAATACAAGTAGAGCTTGCTGAAATACCTTACTTAAGGTATGTTATTTCTTAGAGCAGAATATACATTTATGCATTTGTGTCTCTTTGTCCTGTTTGTGCTGTGAAATAAGTGATGAGGGTAACCACTGATTACATCCTTGTAGGTCCCGTCTCGTTGGGGATGAGTCAGTTGAGTACGACCAACAACGAGGAGGAACACACTACATTGGAGGTGGTGGGGAAACACAACTGGAAAAGGAGAGAAGAATTCTGTCTGAAAGAGAATCAAAGCTAAAGAAAAAATTAGAGTCTTTGAGAAAACACAGGGATCATGTTCACCAAGAAAGAAACAAAAGACATGTGCCTATTGTAGCAGTGGTGGGGTATACTAATGCTGGTATGTGGGTATATGTAAGACTTAGCCATAAAATTAGAAAATCTTCAGTGGTTGAGAATTCTGGAATCCAGTTCCCACAATAGACTCTTGGTTGCTTTGTAAATCCAGGATTTGGATTCCAGATTCCAGACTCAAAATTCCAGATTGCAGATTTGGCATTCCAAATGCTAGATTCTAGGTTCTCGAGCCCTGAATTCCAGTCAAAAAAAAAAAAGACTTTAGCTGTAGATGGTAGAGGGATGGTGGGTTAATCTTGGAAAGTTCACCGATTCTCCAATTCCCTTAAACACCAATTTCTTTACAGGAAAGACTACTTTGATAAAATCTCTGACTGGAGATGCTAAGATGCAGCCAGATAACAAGCTGTTTGCAACACTTGATGTCACAGCACATGCCGGAAAGCTGCCATCAGGAATGCATGCTCTCTTTGTCGACACTGTTGGATTTATCTCTGACCTCCCCCCAGAATTGGTTGAATCATTCTCTGCAACATTGGAGGATGTGGTTGTCTCGGTAATGCGAAATTTTTAGAATTCATTCATTCTTCATAAATAATTATTAATAGATATTTTCTTTTATGTTGTGACAGGGAAAGTCATTGCCGACTGTTTGTTAAATGACACACTTCAGACTTCACACTCTGCCAGTACATTTAGCTTTGCATGCACACGACTCCCATCTCATGAAAAATCAATACTTGGGTGTTATCCTATCGACTGGTATTTGAATACCTTGAAAAAATTAGGTACAGAATTTTTCTCCCTAATATTTTTGYTTGTACTGTCACAGGATGTTGTAGTACACGTGCGAGACATAAGTCACCCAGATAAGGACACACAAGACGACGATGTCAAATCTATACTCACTGATCAGCTGAAGGTCCGTCCATCTCTGGTGGAGCACATCATCGAAGTCAATAATAAAATCGATCTTTGGTAAGAAGATGGCATGCTTTATGTTCTATCATAATGCAAGACCATGTCAGTGAAGGGCTTTGGTGCAGTRGGCGGCGTTGGTTAGATATTATATATTATAGGAGAAGTCGAGGCTATATAGAAACTACCTTCCAACAATAGAAGTTGGCCTCCAAAACAAACTGAAAAGCAAATAACAACCGCCAACCCACGCATTCAACAACAAAATCCACCCACTAAACCTAACAAACACTAACACTGTGATTGTCTGTTTTGACCAGCACATTGTTATGTACTACAGTACCTCAACACAGAGTGAATACAATGATGCACGCATTCAGAATACTATACTAAGTCTTATCAACTCTGCTTTTTGCTTGTTTTCAGTTCAGAAGAAGCCCTACACGAAATGGTTCCCCACATCGGAGCGCAAGAGATAAATATATCTGCAGTTAATGGCACTGGTTTAGATAAACTGCGAAAAAGAATAGAAGAAGGGATTATCAAAACAACTGGACGAATGGTTAGAAAGGTTGTCATACCACCTGGTGGACCACAGCTCAGGTATGGTATCCCTGCGGTACTGAATTGACCTCAACCTTTAAATCAATCACAGCGCGCAACATTACTACTCATCCTATGAAAATGCTCGGACGTCGCACGCTCACACTCACGGCACGGCACGTTGGTTTTTCACCGCTTTAAGAATTTTGCGCTATTATATAACTGTAAAATATTACAGAACGCAGCACCGTTACGGTCTCCGTCACAACTCACTGTCTAAGTTATGCCAGGGTATTGTTTTCTGTAGACCTTTAAGATTACGGCACGGCACGTCTTTATCTAGTCTAGTACCTGACTCACTTTCAGTTCGCTCCGACAAGCTGAAAAGTCGCGCGCGCGGAGGAAAGAATTTTACAACCTGTCGGAGCAGATAGAAAGTGATAGTACAGGACTGGATTCATCTGTACATTGAGATTTTAACAGTCACACAGAATTTACTCTTTATGATTTTTAATAATTGAAATGTTAGGAACTAAGAAAAGTGGCTTTCAAGTGGTTATCGTTGTGAAGCATCAAGATACGAGAGAAGACTATATCCTGGGCGGAGAGGGACCCCTTTAAAATGCTGTAAATGTATGTAATTACGGCTGTGAGGGGGCTGTGAGATGCACTCAACGCCCGGAATGTAGTCTTTTTCTCAAAACACACCATTCAATCGCAAGCTAATCCTGTTATTCTTTATCCTTACAGTTGGTTATATCACGAAGCCGTAGTACACGAAACTGAGGCTGATGAGGATGGTTTCTTAACCGCTACAGTCATCATGGACGAAGCGACAAACAAAAAGTTTGAGAAAAAATTTGGAGACATTTTATCTCGATAATAGACATTTATTACTGAAGTTAAATTTTGTCAAAGCTTAAAGCTTAAGAAAAATATATTAGCATTTTGTAAAATAGGTGTGTAGCCATCAAAAATAAATTGAGTTTGTGTATGGTGCTCGTTTTCGATGGAACGCTTTTATCAATTGTATTTAAAAAATTTATTTCAAGCTTTTATGTTTCAAAAACCACTTTTTCTACGTGTTCTTTGGTAAGAGAAGACAAGGCAGTCTCGTACTTCGTTAACTGAAATAAATGAATTCCGAGTTTGTCAAAATTAAAGTATATTTCTGCCATATCCCTGACAAGCTGTATGGCTTGTGGGAAGGTAAAAGGATTGGATTTACAGCCGTATATCTTGAGTTCCTTGTTCAAGATGTCGTAAGGGTTCAGTTTGACTTCAGAGTCTTGAGGATAGCACCCGAAGAGAAGGATTTTCCCGCCATTTGTCATCCATTTGACAGACTTTTGAAAATCACTAGCAGAGGTTGTGCAGTCGATTAGAGCGTCAAATCCCCAGTTTTTGTCAAGCCGTTGACCATCGTAAGCTTCAGCTTCTATTGTATCTGGATGCATGACTTTGAACCCTAAGTTTAACCCCGTTGCTAAGTTACGACGGTGTTCTGACGTTTCACTCAAGACAACCTTACGGTAGCCATGGAAATGTAGTATACACAACCACAGGGTTCCCATGATCCCAGAACCGTATACTAGTATTTTGGAATTGGTTGGCAAGGGATGGAGAAAACTGAATCCATGGAGAATACAAGAAATAGGTTCGCATAAGATTGCATGGCGGAGCGATACTTGTGGTGGCAGTACATGTACGTTCTGCGCCCTCACTCTAGTGTACTGTGACCAACCTCCATTCCGCCATATCCCTAGAAATTGATCTTGCTCTTTTTCGCAGAATTCTGGTTGTCCTCTTGTACAGTGGCAACACAAGTGGCAGCTCATGTGTGGATTAATTACCACTCTGAAAAGCATGGAAATGAGTGTAAATATCCCTACACGACGCAAGGGGCGGGACAGTATGTTTTACTTGGAGTGAGCTGTTCCCAAAGAGCACGTCACTTTTACTTTGATTTTAATTTAAGGTTTCCTCCTAGCGCAAAACCAGACCCAAAATGCTAAAGTACGATGCGATCTCTGTTTCAGCACGTTATTCGTGCTCTGGACTTTGATACTCAGGTTATAATCTATAAACTTTTAAGGTTTTATATCAGGACACGATTTCATGGTATTGGTAAATGTAATGTTATAATTTTTCATCTTGTTAGAGCGGACAGAAAGAGAGTCCAGGACCGGATTAGTCTGTAAATTAAGCTTTTTCACAGTCTTACAGAATCTACTCTTAATGATGTTTCCATACTTTGACTTTTAGGGATTGAAAAATGGCTTTAAAATGGTAGTTTTTAATGTAAAACATTCGAGATACGGAGGAAGACTACATCGCGGGCGGAGAGGGGCACATTAAAAATGCAGTAAATGTATGTAAATTGAGCTGTGAGGGGGCCGTGAAATGCACTCTACGCCCGGGATGTAGTCAGTTTCCTCAACACACACAATTCAACCACAATCCGAGTATGTAATTCTTTATCCTTCTAGTTGGTTGTATCATAAAACAATCGTACACAAAACTGAGGTTGATGAGGATTGATTCCTAACCGCTACACTCATCATGGACGAAGCAACGAACAACAAGTCTTTTGAAGACATTTTAAATGCTTCGATAAATAGACATTCATTTCTGAAATGAAATTGAAGCTGAAATCTTAAAAAACATATTACCATATGGTGAAATAAGTCCATAACCATTCAATTAATTCAAATAAAATTGAGTTTATTTGGTGTTTAATCGTTCTTTTGATCCGAACACCGTTTCCATGGTATGGGTAATCGCAATATTTTCTTACTCCCTTGTTTCTATTTGTTCCAATGATTAGAAAGAATATTTTATTCTAGATACATTGATGATCTACCAGCCAATCGTCGAGAGGTTATAGTATCTTCCCCGTTTTTGTGATAGCGTTAATTTATCGGAAGCAAGAGCTTCGATTACAAAAAAACCCTGATCAATCATTATATACCAATTAAATTAGCAACGAAGTCGAACATGCAGGGAATCCCCCAATACATTAAGGGCGTGTATCTACTTGAGATTGAGCGGTTCATATCTCACGAACTCCTTGATTGAGAAATAGACATACTCCACCCTAAGATCGAGAGAAGCTACATTTAATCTACTCACAACAATCACGCAATCAAACAGCTATTGAAAATTTGATGTTTGACGCAAAAAGTTAATTTCAGTAAATGTTAATGAACATGAAAAATAAACATGAGTTTCTTATTTATCGGATATTCGGATCAGTATTTTTTTGAAACTTACTGCCAAACTTACTTAGGGTAAGTAAATTAGACGCTTATCTATGATTTGAGTGTGGTGTTTTTGAATCAAAATTAGCATAAGGAGAAAAGAAGGATACGATGTTTTGTGAAGATGTATGAATGAGTAATGAGCGAGTGATCGCAAATGCTACGCGCACCTGTCCATACAAAATATTTAAATATTTTTTCAAATGTCAAAACTCTCGGGCATTTTAAATACAGAATTTGTGTAGCAGGATTTTAATATGTGTTTTATCAACTATCTTTGAAGTAAGACACGTAGATTGAGACCTAACTTGAGAATTTCCTGCATAAATTATGCAAAAGGTATGGCATCTTTGAAGCTTGATACTAAAGCTTGATTTTCACGATCAAACATCATAATAAAATTAAATTCTTTATAGTCTTCGTCTTCGATTCCATATGGAAAATAAGCATGATTGTAAATATTAGTCTTGAGCGCGCGAATTTTTTCGTTCTAAGAATTTTTTTTGGTCACAGAAGTGAAGATTTTGCACAAAAAATCGCGCGCGGTTAATGAAACGTTTAATGACATGAAGCGATTTTCCCCAAAATTTTGGTGTTTTTTAACCTAGTTTAACTCACCGATCACCGATAGAAACATTCTTAACTTCAGTGCCAACCTCACTGACCACACCAGCGAACTCATGGCCAAGGACGACGCAATGACTAACTGGTAGTTCTCCTGCAAGTATTCGTACGTCTATATCACATACACCTGAATATGAAACCTTGACGATAACTTCGTTTGGAGCTGATACATGAGGAACTGGTCTCGTTATGAAAGAAAGATTACCGTCCCAGAGCTGTAGCGAATTGTTCATAGCGTCAGTGGAAACGGTCGTGGATTTCCTTGGATCAAAATTCCTTCACCGGTTTGAAACAGAATCCGAGTGTTTTGTGTGAACAGTGCGACAGCTGACGTACCGTGGGGGAATGGGTCCCAACGAGTTTTCATCTGTTGTGAACTGTAAGCTGGGCTGGTTTTCAAAATAAATTCCTAAAATTGTAATAAAAAGGATASGAAATAATAAGAAATTGGCAATTAATCATGACTGGGCTTTTGTTGGTCTGAATTATTATTTGGGTTACATGTGGTACGACATAGTCCGTCACTGAATTTAAGAAAAAATATTTCTCCTTCATTTTGTCTGAAAACCTCTTTCTCAAAAAGTAGATAATATATATATATATATATATATTTAAAGAAATTAGGCTTTTAATACTAGTTCAGAAATTTAAAAATTGAATTTAGAAGAAATTTCGTCATTTGCCCCTCCCTCCCCTCCCTAATGAGAAATTAATTATGCAATCATTGTATGATAATCACGTGAGTTGAGTGATAGAAAGAGCGAGTCGCAGAAAAGTCRACTTCTCTTCCTTCTTTTCGTCCGATCGGCTTAAAAGTTCAACATGATTGAGTTAAATCTCTGGGAAAAGTTCCTAAAAAAAGTAGAGCCCCATCTACCAGAATATTTACACTGGAATGAAATTTGTGTATGTAGAAAAATCGTAGCTGGAGGTAAAATTGTAAGTGAATTTGTTGGTAAGATTTTTCTTTCTCTCTCTTCCAGTGGACTTTCGTCTTTTACCTTGCAGAAGCAAGGCGTCATATTCACCGATGGACACGAGGAATGGAGCCTTGGGAGGTGAGTTGTTCTCGCAATGTCTTCTTGCTCAAAGATCGGAGCTTATTCCTGGCTTTTGAATAACATTTTTGACGTTAAGACCTTAGTTTTGTGCTTTTCTATATTATATATTGGCATTTGGCCCTTGAAATAAGATTGCATAACACTACTACTAATTGACCCTTATTCCTTTTGTATTTGTTGAACCTTAAACGAGAATATATTATGAACAATCTTTCTTTGCAAACGCTTGAAATATTTTTTTTGTTTTATCTCTAAATTTATGTTTAAAAATTTATACAAAGAAATTGACGTCTAAGGTTTGAAGCTATTTGTAAGTTGGAACGTTTGTATATTTTATCAAAATGTTTCTGCCCACCCTTAACCGAACTCTTACTAGTCTTCCATAAACAGTATCTATGAATGATATGTTCATTCATATGTAAATTCATATGTAAATTTATCATAATGACCGCCAAATTTCCCGCCATTAATATTTAATACATTATATCACTTCCTAGCCCCCTAAGCCTCTCTTTCATGCCCCAGCTGGTGACAAGTGACCTTTACAAAAAAAACTTGTCATCGGTTATCACCACCGCATGTTCAGCAGTGGTGCAGCTTAACAGGGTCGAACTGAAAGCATGTGAAGGCGCCTCTGGCATCCGCTATACTGTCCATGTATGACCCCGGAGCACAGCTCGAACCAGTTTGAGTTAGTTAGGGTTGATTTGAGAGGAGGGAGGAAAAACTGGAGGAACGGAAAAACCCTCAGAGTCAGAAAGAGAACCAACCAACTCAGCTCACATGGGGTGGCTGGGATTCGAACCCCAGACCTCAGAGGTGAGAAGCGAGCGTTTTACCACCACACCATCCTGACTCCCCATGCATATAGCACATCTTTAGACTCCTTTCAAAATTATGTTGGTTGTTGGGCTATCAGGAATATACAAAAGAAATCCCATTTGTGCTTTTCTTGTTAGCCTCGGATGTCGCATTGAAACTAACCATTTTGAAAGGGTACAGTGCGTATGTATCTATTGAAATTAAAACCAGTAATGAATATATGTACATCACGCAACAGACCTTAATATTTGTTAATGCATATATATAATTCAGTAATTTAAAAGAATGATGCTGTACGATTTTCTAATTCTACAGATTGTGGTAAACACAGTGTCTATATGTTTCTGTGCTTTTCTTGCATTTGAAATTTTACGTTGGTTTATAAGCTGGATTTTCTTCCAAGATGAAAGTAAGTTCAAACATTTTATCAAGAAATATTCAACAGTCTTAACTACTTACGAAATTGTTTTTAACTGTGAGATTTCTTTAATCTAGGTTTTTATTCAAGAATGAAAAAGAAAACGTTTAGGATCATTAGAAGTCTTCCAATCATCAGAGATAAGGTGATTCAGCTGTTTACTTAGTAATCTAGGCTGGCTCTTGCCTCCCACAGGTTTCTGAAGTCTCGGGTTTGATTCCTTGGACTCACTACCCTGACTTGAGTTTATGAGGTCTCTCCCTTGTCATGGTTCAAGGGTTTTTTTTTCTGGGTTCAATTATCATTTTCCTCCCTCAACAAAACCTAACTTACTAAATTTTAATTTGATCCGTGAATTATACCCATGGGCCATAATTTAGTATTACAAAATTATTAAATTATAATAGCAGATATCATGGATGCATGCAAATGAGACAAAAGGCATTGTATTGACCCGATGGCCTCACTTGTATGATTCTCAAAACAAAAGAATATCTCATTGCAGGCTCAATTGTAATAACAGCTATCACCTTATGTTTAGATTGATGCTGAAATGCAGAAAACATTAGATGATATGGAACAAATGGCCTTTCCATTACATGAAGGGCAAGTATACAGAACCAAGGTAAATAAAACATATCCAAGATATATATATAATAATTATAATACATGCTCTCTTTAGCTGAAAACAAGCCATGTTTTCATAGAAAATTTTGCTTTAGAAAATATCATTTTCTTTGCTCCGTTAGAGTCAATTAAAATTTTGGAATATTCATTTTGCTTCAGGATTCCTATCTAGTTTTACTGCTTCCACTTGGTTCCTTATTATCAATTAAATTTCCATTATTTCAGAAAATGCACTGTAAAATTAATGCAGAATTTAAGATCCATTGCAGTAATTTGTTCAAATATTTTATACTTACAATAGTGTCTATTTTGTTCTATAGTTACCATATAAAGGTCTTAAAGAGGTAAGTCCTATCCTTAATGTTATATTGGTGCAAATGTTTGGCTCCATACAGGCTCTATTAATAAACTTTTCATTTAATTTTGAAGAGGGAAGCCTGTCTTTTCACTAAAAAATTAGAAAACAATGGAATATGCATGAAAATTGTGCTATTTAGTATTACTAAAGTTTCACGGTTATGTTGTTTGTACTCTATATTGCTCATGATTATCATATGGCTGTCTTTTATTTTGTAGGCAGAACTCATGACTGAAATAGATAAATATGGCAAAATGGGTAAGTGACGATTAGCTATAGACTCCTTGCAGCACGTCAGAATGCAGCTCAATTCGGGGGACAAAACAATAGGTTCCAATTCTCAGGAGTTTGGAATTCTTTTGTTTTGTCCTCCAGATTGAGCTGCTTTGATGTCACATGCAAGGGGTCTATAACTTACCATGCATTTATGGACAGGTGTTGTATAAGATTTGATATATCATGATATTAATATAATATTGATCTATTATCTACTCATCATGATATTGATATACTGATATCATACCATATATTGCAGTGGAGATTGATTGGGAAGCTGGTCATGTGTCTGGTACAGTGTACAACGGAGGCAAAGAACTGACTAAAGTTTTGACTAAAGTAAGTAATTACTTTGTAATGAATCTTTAGGGACTACATCTTGCAGGGGTTGCAGTGGGGGGATGGAGGTATTCTCTCTTAAACTTGAACAAAACTGAACCTGACAACCTTTAATGTGTTAGACAGAGAGTTTGTTCTTTACCCTAGCTATTTATCATGAACCCCTGCCTGTTGTAATATTCTTGTTTTCCTTGTAACTCGTTTAGGTTTATGCCAAGTTTGCCTGGTCAAATCCTCTCCATCCTGACGTTTTTCCTGACGGTATGCCGTATGTCACGTTGCCTACATGAATATTATTTCAGAGTTCAGAGCATGGGTTGGTGGGGGGGGNGGGGGTTGGGGGGTGGGATGGGTATAGGGTATGGCAGTTAAATTACTCAAGGTTTTGCTAATTTGACCTTGTCTTGTTAGTTTTCTTCTGTCCTGCAATATTGTTTCAAATCAAGTCTAAAATAATTGCCCATGTTTTTAGTGCGAAAGATGGAAGCTGAAGTTGTTCAAATGACTATTGCAATGTTTAACGGTGGAAAAGATGCTTGTGGAACTGTAAGTTGTTTAAAATTTAGCTGATATTAAACATCTGATGCAACAGATGCATGCCTGAGTCTGGGCCATTATATATGTGCCTTAATTATGTGAGAAGAAAATATTTAGTGGCCCATATTATATGGTTAATAAGCAAAACAGCTTTTTCCATGCTCTGTTCAGTAATAAAGCACAATAAGTGGCATAAGCATGAGTTTTCACTCAGTGAGTGCATATTATCCTAACTATATAATGATTATCAATATGGGCCACACATCTTTTGTATCAGGCCAGTAAAGCAATGTATGATAACTGTTTATTTCAGAGTGGTTATATATGATCATATGCATACTGTTTTTCCGTGGAAGCTTATTTTTGCTTTGTCTTCTGTAATCCTAGATGACAGGTGGTGGTACAGAGAGTATTCTGTTAGCTTGCAAGTCATACAGAGATTGGGCACATGAACGAGGAATTCAAAAACCTGAAATGTAAAGAGTTGGAGATTTTGAATTGAATCATTGAATTGTTATCAAATCTTTGTAACTCCCTTGCTGTGATTAATCATGTGTCATGTTTGTTGCAGTATTGCACCAGCAACTATCCATGCTGCTTTCGACAAGGTACAGTTAATCAATTAACTTTTGAAGTCCCCCAAATTAACATTTATAGGTAATTATAATAAGCATCTCATTCAGTTAGATTCGAATTAAAAATATCAGACAGTCAACTGACAGTGTCTGCCCAAAATTTGCACTTGTCCTGCAGTCTGTCATTAATTCCAAGAATATTGACATCTTCTTTCTTTTTAGGCAGCTCATTATTTTGGTTTCAAGCTTGTCCATGTACCTGTAAATGAAAAGACATGGATGTGTGACCTTAGGGTAAGTTTGCTTGTTAATATGATAGCAAGTACTGTTTGCAGCCTTACCAATTTAATACTAGGATTTTTGTTAACCATTTTTCTTGTTGTTTTGATCTTTTTTCTATTCAGGCAGTTAAAAGAGCAATAAATCGCAACACCATTGCTGTAAGCATTAGATGATTTCTCTCACTCCATTTGATTTTTTTTCATGGTGTCAAGTGCTAGAAAGCCATCATGTACCTCTTATTTTCCTTACTGATTTTCCTTACTGATTTCATGTATTAATTTAATCAGATTGCTGGCTCAGCTCCTCAATTTCCACATGGTATTTTGGACCCAATAGAAGAAATGGCCAAAGTAAGTAGTACAATGAACAAAATATTGACATAATTCGTTTGGCTTGATTGTTATTTACTGGTAAATTGCCAACCAGAATTCTATTGGATAACAGCAAAGCAAAGTGACAAAAAACTATTGTTAAAAATAATTGACACTAACATAATGGCAGCGATGTCCAAAAACACTGTGTCCACCTAAAATATGCATTATGTAAGACAGTTTATAAAATCGTTGTTTCTGTTATAGCTTGCAAAGAGATATAACCTTGGTATGCATGTCGACTGCTGTCTTGGTGGGTTCTTAGTTCCATTTATGGCAAAAGCTGGGTAAGTCTATGTTACATTTACCAACAAGCTACCCTACCAACACCTATGTACCAAAACCCTACTGACACCCCACCCTATTGACAATTTACTAATACCTTACCATCACTCTACTGACTCACTACATACACTCTACCAATGGTACCCTACCAATAACTAGACCCTACCAACGCCATCCTATTGCCAACCGACTAATACTCTACCATCACCCTACTGACACACTACATACACTTTACCAATGGTACCCTACCTATAACTAGACCCTACCAACSCCATCCTATTGCCAACCRACTAATACTCTACCATCACCCTAYTGACACACTACATASACTYTACCAATGGTACCCTACCTATAACTAGACCCTACCAACCCCATCCTATTGCCACCCATTACTAATACTCTGCCATCACCCTACTGACACACTCCATACACTCTACCAATGATTGACTCTACTCTTAGACCCTACCAACACCCTATTGACACTAATTTTGGGGTTATCTATTCATCGGTGGAACCAGTAAGGTTAACAAGGTAGTCCTGCCTAAATCACATGACATAACAGGTAGAGCAAAGGGAACAATCTTTACAACATTCAGAAAGGGGACGTTGGTCACTTTTGCCTTCCCTAATCTGCACCTACTATTATTAAACTAATCCTATTAACCTTTTTTTGGTGTTCTATTAGGTATCATCTGCCACCTTTTGATTTTAGTGTGGATGGAGTTACTAGTATATCTGCTGATACTCACAAGGTACTGTTCTGTAACATCTATATTCCTTGTAAGCAACTATGGGGGGGATATGTGATTGACTGGCATCTCAACCAGAGGTGGGGGGGGGGGAGGGGATCTGTGATGGACTGGCATCTCATCCAGAGGTGGGAGGATCTGTGATCAATGGACTGGCATCACATCCAGAGGTTGGGGGGAGAGGGGGGGGGGGGGATGAACTGTGATGGACTGGCATCCAATCCAGAGGTGGGGAGTGGGTACAGTGATTGGGATGGACTGACTACTGGAAAAACTGATTGAGACAAAAGTCATGAAAGGTTCAAAATAATGAAATTTGTTTGATGAGTGCTAAAGTTTAATACCATGTCTTCTTGTTTCAGTATGGATACTCGCCCAAAGGATCTTCAGTAGTGTTGTACAGTAACAAACATCTGAGGCACTTCCAGGTAATTTAGATAATCATTATTTATGAAACATAAGCTCCAACAAAGTGGAGGTTTAGCCCTTCACTTTTTGGGCATTTGACCAAGGAAGGAGATTTAATATAATATAATATGATTTATATAGCGCCTATACAAGTCGGCTCTAAGCGCTGTAAAATATATATAAATTATAATTCAAAAGCTAGTTTAAACAAATGAGTCTTAAGGTCTTTCTTAAAAGTTTTTAGACATGAAGTGTTTCTAAGAGGAGACGGTAGTGA